AAGGGAGCGCCGCGAAAGTTACAGAAATACCTAGCAGGCGCGGACCCGGCCATCGAGCGTTGGGTTGAAAGGAGGCCACGGACCGATTTCCTGCTGCTAACTTGGCGCTCGTTTTCGTACGATACAAAATCTGCTGATTATTTTCAGTTTAATTTTAAGGAGTGAGGTTGGTGGACTTGGCAGGCGTGTAACTTGACACAAGAAAATCTGAGAACTGTGCCCTTGGAGAGAAGCTCAGAATGGGTTGTACCTGGGCAAAACGTACCGTGATTATGATTACACTGCATACATCCAACCATCCCTTTAAAAAGCATATTTTTTTTAAACTTTTAATGTTAATGCAATAGTTAAAGGCTTGTGTTTTCTAACTACAGCTGTAAAACAGACACATTCCCCCCGCCCCGGTGCGATGCAACCTGCTTCCTTTCCCCTCGCATCCTATCACTCCTACCTCTCTCTCCAGTTATAAACTTAGTATGTGGGAGTTAGGCTGGAAACCAGAGGAAGATTTATCTTGTTTCGACTAGTTTGTCCACTGGAACGGGACATACCTGATACATAACGTCCAGAAGTGAGAGCTGTGATCATTGTTTAAATTGTTTTTCCCTGGCGCTCAAACAGCGTTGAAGCAAATTCTCAAAGTTAATTATTAGCTCAGTGTCCTTTTTATATGGTTAAATTGTGCTAGATACTTGGGTTTATGAAGTGGCTTTGCTATTAGATGTGTGGAGTAGTGTGTTCCAACTCTGATTTTGATAGTTTCTTGAAGTGCTCAATCAAGACTGTTTCTGTTTATTTTTTTCCATGTTCTGTTTCCATACTTTTTAACTGTTGTCATTCTCTGTGCCTTACATGTGGTGATTGAGGTTTTTTTTTCTTATTCTAGGGTATGCTGTTCCTCCACCGACATCACAGCCAAACTATTCAAGCACATACACCATTATTCAACAGCCTGCTACCACCACTTCTGTAGTAGTAGTTGGTGGCTGTCCTGCCTGCAGGTAAAATAGCTCTCTAGTTGAGAAATAAACTGGGTCTTGGGTTTTATTTTTTAAATTACAGGTAGCCATATAGTTCCCTTTGTCTGTGTGTGTTAGGATTGAGTTAATTGAAAAAAGCACTAAGATTTAGCAGTGGAGTGCTTTGTTACGTAGTATGAGCTTGTTCTAATGGACTTGTGACAACCGCTGTAATACAGTAGACTTTATATATAAACATGAATCTGTTCTTTATGATGGAGGAAGATCTGTAAGTGGTATTTCTAATGAAAAGGCAGTTCAGTTACAGATGTAAAGGGTCAGTTCTTGGGGGAGCGGATGACAGGAAGTCCTTTCTAATGTGTTTATGCTCAGTGATGGCGAGTGGCGTGATTTGATTGTGAAACTTTCTGTACTCTTTGACCGTAGTCACTTCTGGTTATCTGGCAGTCCTGTGGAACGGCTTCTGCTGCCGTGGTGTGTGTGTCCCCATTCCCAACACCCAGGCTGTGCAAAGCCAGGCAAAGTGATTGTCAGTACTGGTTGAAAATATCAGTATCTTAAGGCTTTAAAAAAGATCTCTTATTTTTAAAAGTCCTTTTACTGCAGAAGCACAGGGAGATTAGTAAATTTGATTCAAAGTGTTAATCTGATGAGGTGGTGAAAACCAGAAAAAGCAGTCAGCTGCTAGCTGGAGTTGCAACAGAAGAACAACTTCCCCCTCAGAAAGAAACAACCAGGAAAAAAGGGAAGGAGGCAATCTCTTTCCACATTAGCGCTGTAAGTCAGCTGTAGTCCCCTTGCACTTCTCAGTTCTTCTCACTCCAGGATTATTAACTAAACGGTGAGGGCAGCCACATTGCTGCTGGTGCACCTGGCCAGTTCTGACTCAAATGCAGAATCATTCCCCTTCTGTTAAAATGTCTGTGAGTTACCCTTGTGGCGTCTTGCGAGGAAGCACTTAATATTCTGCGAGTCTGAGCCCTCGCGTATCTGTTTCAAAATGTGCAGGGGACAGACTTGGCAGAATAGCTGAAATGATACCAGGCATCAGTGTAATGAACGTGATAGAGATTGTCATAGTGGCAGAGGCTGTCCCCCAGATGCCTGCTGGTTTTGTTAGAACTGGTGTTTGTCAGAGACTCAGTACCTGCCTTCAAAGGTGGACTCAAACAAGAAGTGTCTTGTGGTGCTATGTAAAAACAGGTGCCTGCTGAAATGCCACTAGTTAAGGCTGAAAAACCTGTACCAGCTAGAGCTATTGATCTAGAAGTTGTATGTTTTAAACAGTGAGGGAAAATAACCACTGATCTGTGCAGAGTATGTAGTAGATCCTGCCACCTGAGTAATTACGTTAAAATGCTTATGCTTTAGCTCAGCCAGAGGACAGGGAAGGTGTTATGTGTTGTGTGGTATAGGGCAGACAGTGTGTTCATACAGACCTTCTGGCCCTAAACCCACTGAATCTCAAAACGTTTCACTGTGGAAGTGGTCTTTGCAATAACAAGATTGGTAGACTCTTGCTGCTATTCTTAGGATTTTTTTTTTTTTACTATTTTCTGGAAGTTATCCTGTGATCTTCTAGTAGACAACTTCGAAACAATCATTTACAAGTATAATATCTAACTTTAGTCAAACTTGGGAAAATGAACTATCTTTTTTAAGATGTCTTTAAGTGACCTCACTTGAATAGTTTTCTGAAGTCATCAGACTTGCTCTGCTGGAGGTGCCCAGTGCTCTGCACATTGTAGACTCTTCTCTAAAGCAAAATACCCTCCACAAAAACCCTGTTTACTCTTGGATCCTCGGGTTTTGTCTTAGGCTGTGGGTGGGGGAAAAAAAAAAAGTTGTGAGGAGAACTATGACACATTGATTACTATGAGGCATAATACTGCACTGCTTAAACTGTAGAATGCTTCTCAGCGCTTCTGAAGTACTCTTGATCAGGGAATCCTAAGGAGGAGTAACTGTATCCAGCAATGCTGTGCCATAGTCCTCTGTGCAGTATCACTATGTTTTTTTCCTTTAGAGGAAAGTCTTTGGGGGAAGAGTCAGAGTGTCAGGGTAGGAGGGAAGAATCTCAGATTGCTTGTCTTTTGACTAGTTAAGGAATTGATAGTCTGGTACTTCAAGAGACAGGGAGGCTGGGTGGGAGGCATGATACTAGAAATATTCATGGGAACTTGAAGGGTCAGGGTTCATGCTCTGGAAGGTCGCACTGGCTGCTTCTCTTAGAGAAAGAGCTCATAATCCTCTTTGACTTCTTAAACATAGTTCTAGTTTACTTCCTTGGCCTGGAAACCTATTTTATAAAGAATGCAACACTGAACAGAAAAGTTTTTGAAAGGGCATTGATAAAAACATAAAAAGCTATGAATGGTACATAAAAGACTTTGTTACTAAACTGCCAAGTCAGTTGTCCTGTTACTCTTGTGATTTGATGCTGTGCATGGTCGTTAGAGAAGTCCATCTGCTTTAGATCATGAGCAAAGAGCCTTGTTTGTGGCTGTGGAATAATGTAACTGATTGAGCAGGCTAAAGCCCGTCGAGAGGATTTCTACAATCAGAAATACAAACTAGTCTTTTGCACTGTGGCATTTATGAATGTTGCTAATTGACATCAAAACCATTTCCAACTTAAAATATATGCTGTTGAGGAGAAATATGCAGTATTGGTCTGTTATTTGGGTGGGAGTCTTTTATTGGAGTCACGAATGATCTTGGGATTAATACGCTAGCTACAGTACAGTTGATCTTTAGGCTTGATTTAAAGTATGAAGTAATAAAAAGTACAAAGTATCTCCAAAAGTAGCCTCTCTGCCAGTAGGTAGGGTGCCCCTTGTTACTATGTAACTGCAGTTTTTTCCTTCTGTCTGTGAAGTATTGCCGCATTCGAGGGATGACTCTCCTGTCTGGCAAGCTCTATCTCTTGCTTAGAGTTACTCATTAGTCAGGTCATCTTCATTCGTCATTGGTCAGTGTTGCTTTCTAATTACAGACTTAAGTATTAATGTACGTTCCATCCTTCCTTGCGTAATTAAAATGTCTTGGGTGGTTGTAGTCCTGTTTTACTGTGAGTTCTTCTCCCAACCCTGACGCACAGAGAATTAAACTGAGTTGCAGCATCTTGTCAGCTTTATTGCTTGTAATTGACATCTAAGGATTGGCCAAGTCCTGCTTTTAAACTATTTTGTGTTCCCAAGTACAGATTGAGTCATTACAGCCACTAACTTTAGAGATCCAGCCACGTAATTATCTTTTTAGCCTGGAGAAAACAGTCTGGCTGCTTCTGTTGTGGTCACTTTCATTTTCTTTTTCTCCATCTTCCGTTGTTGAGTAGGTCAAACTGCAAAGGAATGTTTACTTTGCTATTACTTAACAGAAGAAAGATCCCTTTAAAAATGGTGAAAACATTCTTTTCATCTGATGTTTGCGAAAGCTGGTTCTTTCAAAATCTGGGACAGAGCATGTGATGGACTCTGGCTTTTTATTTTCCTGTTAACGAGTACTCAGTTGTTTGGGAAAAAGGGTGAGGGAAAGGATGTAACACCACCACGTTGTGGTGGCTTTCTCTTCTGACCATTACCAAACATCTGCTTGGGAAGTATTGTAGTGGATCTCAAATTACAATAATACTGAAGCTTTTCCCTGGACTGGAAGATGAGACAAGTTTGGTTAAAACTGTATTAATTCGCAGATCTCTTACAGCTTTCTCCCTGCCACAGTGGTTTGTTTGGGGTTTGGTTTTTTTTTTGGGTGGTGAGTTTGTTGTGGTTTTTTTTTTTTACTTGACAAAGTAGTAAGTCCTCAGGTTTTGGTTGAAATTTTGTTTTCCTCAATTAAGTGCATCTCTCTTGAGAGAATAGGCTCTGGAATTGAGCTTAGGTGATAAAGTACTTCAAAATGTCAGTCTTCTGGTTTTACTTCAATTGTTTCAATAATAAATGCTGTGTATGGTTTGATAGAAGGCCATTCAGGATATAGGTTTTCTATGGTTACAACAGCTACATTTAAACTTCATGTAAATATTCTTAATATAACTTCATAATATGTACTGGTTAAATATGCAAGGAATTAAAAAGACCCAGCAATTTAGAGAGCATGTCTGGTATTGTGAGGAAAGCCTGTGGATTTTTGGTTTCTAACAGCAGGCTGATGTGCTAGAGATCCTTTTGAATCTTGTAAGTAAAGCCAATTTTGAAATACCATTTCAAGAGTGCTATAAAGAGGAGTAGCTGTAACGGTGCAGCAGGTCCTGACGCTGGTTTTTGTCACTAAGATGATCAGCCATGCTGGGATTCAGTGTAGCTCCCCCATACCACAGTCTGCAGCTTTCTGTAAACGTACGCTGTTCAGGCGGACTGGGGCGTTCGTCCCTGCTGTGCTGTAATTTGGTGGCTGGAGCAGCTGGGGTATGAAATTCGGCAATGACTTACGCACGTGACTGCGGAGAAGAAAGCCTGGATACAGCAGACTTGAGCAGATGCCACGAGTCTGCCATTTGGAATTACTGACTGGGATAGCTGTAACTCTCTTCCCCCAGCCTAACAGCAGAGGCACGCAGCTGCTTAGCAGGAGGTTGGTTACTGAAGCCCGGAAGAAAGGAGGTGGTAAGGCTGTTAGCAGGGTCCCGAGTGAGAACAGCAGAGCTTTTGCTGTTTTTGAGGATTTTTGTTCTACTGGTCTGAACTGATTCGTGGACAATAACCAAAATGCATTTTTCTAATAAATGAGACTTTATGCAATTAATAAGATACATGAGGAATGTGTTCCCTAACGGGACCATATAAAAATGATAATCTGGTCCCGAATGCCCAGTCTGTCATTCGGCCTGAGTTGATAGCATTTATTTTTTTAATTAGTGTCACCATTTGTCTTGGTGTCTGTATTCTGGTAATTAGGATTTCTTTGTAGCAATGAGTTGTTCTGGGTGAGAGGAGGAAACTGGTCTTGTTTGTTGGTAATGGGAGGTGATGCTGAATTGGCTGTGTATGCAGACAGGTGAGGAAAAAACACACCAGGTC